TGTCAAACTTTGTTTGGTGCCTGGACACTGAAACTGCAACATATCTGGCAATGAATCGGGTGATGAATTGACCAGACGCGGATCTGAGTCAGTAGATCTAGAGATCGAGAGCTCAGTGAAGTCACCTTTATGCTACTTCTTCCAAGATTTCAACAGAACTGACTAACTGGAAGGGGGTGTAATGTCTCCAAAAGATAAGAGTCGGTGAACTCCGAAAGGATATCAAGGTCACCCATATCCATGACGAAGTAAGACTTGAAGCTTGTGGTGAGCCTAATTACAGGACACTGCAACATAAGGGACATGACATCAAAGGAAGGAGGGGGGTGGTCACGATACTGAATACTGCAGGCTTTGTCAGGACTAGGAGGAAATTGAGACGGTGGAGCACTTACTCTGTCCCCGTCCAACTCTTATCGGAGTCGGACAGAGGCTACTCGGAAAGCAAATTCCGTCCGACTTATCCTCCCTCTCCGAAACCGAGCCAGCAGTCTTTCTTCAGTTAGCCAGAAAACTAAAATGGCTAAGGCCGACACGTTGATTACACCGTGGATATGAACCTAATAACTTCTCTATTCTAATCTTCAAACTCTCGCTTCTTCACTAATCGTTTCCTTCCCTTTCATTACTTTATTCTTCCATCTTCCCTAAATTAGAATGAACACAATGGACCAATAGGTCACCGAGTGGCACCTCCCGATATTCGCTATTTTGATGATTTTAGCGACATTATTTACCGAAATTGTTTCAAACTTTGTATTTGAAGTTCGTAATGGATACTACAGCCAATGACAGAAAATGGTCTGTATGGTACCACGTCTTCGTATAGCTCCCATATAACGCTACCTTCCGATATTCGGTATTTTGATGATTTTAGCGGCATTATTCACCGGAATTGTTTCATATTTGGTATTTGAAGATAGTATTGAATACTACAGCCTATGACAGAAAATTGTCTGTGCGGGGCCACGTCTTCGTATAACCCCCATATAACGCTACCTCCCGATATTCGGTATTTTGATGATTTTAGCGACATTATTCACCGGAATTGTTTCATATGTGGTATTTGAAGTTCGTAATGGATACTACAGCCTATGCCAGAAAATTATCTGTACATGTTCACGTCTTTGTATAGCCCGCCCAATGTGTCAAGTTTAAGCTACATCGGGTACTAACTTCGCTCAAAATGATTCTCCTTTTGGGACAATTGTTAACTTTTATGGGGGAGTTGCCAAAAGAAGTGGGCCGACATTGCCCTACTTTCAATTTAATTTAAGTTTGGTAATAATATTACGATGTCGGATACTCTTTTCGAAAGTTAGACAAACAGTAGAGAAGTACAACTAGTCACTAAGAATACAAAATGTAAAACTACAGTTGGGTCTATTAAAATTTGGGATTAACATTTTCGAAATACGGAAGTGTAGGATGTATATGAGGGCAATACCATAATACCAAACCTTTTAGGAATACTACAAAAATTGTTGTTAAATGTTATTTATTTATAGGATATGTCTCCTCAAACAAAGTAAAAATTTCATTTTCTTATAAATTTATCACAAGGAAATTCCTTCTTGGAAAAGTGTACTTAAATGTTTCGTGGTTTCTTCCAAGTATTAATGATGATTGTGTTTTCTTTCACCCTTATTTAGTATTTCCATTTTACTAAATCTGTGGGCGTATCGACGTCCCAATTATATTTGGTAATGCGCTTAAGAGAACAAGTTGTTTGTCATTAAGTATTAATTGCCACTAATAATAGCTTCTACTTTTAATGACGGCATTGGAAAGTATGGAAGGCGTTAACTTAAGTTAATGTCCTTAGAAAAGTCGCAGACACCAAAAAACCTTGACATGTTTTGATTACCTGTCATATTTATAATTAGTTAATCTTAAAAAAATGAAAATGTTAACATGAAATATATAGAGCCTTTATAAAACTTCCTGGAACCATTCATGAGAAAATATGTAGGTTGTAATTCCCTGAAGCAAACAGTAACATCCGTTTGGGGAGATTAAAATGAATCCGATTTAAAAACAAAATACCTCCATCCTGCCGACAAAGCAAATATTTGCATTAAAGCGTAAATCCAAAGGTAACCACCACCGCACAAAACTTGGAGAATATTCACAAAAGAATCTAAACCGCAAAAAGTTAAACAGCAAATTATTTCGCAGGAAGGAAGAAACATTACCAGGAAGGTGTGTGTGTGCGGCGAGGAGGTGAACTTCAAGTGCCACCAACCCAGTCAGCCAGCCAGCACATTTAAAATATTTAGTGGTTTATAAATAGAATAAGTATTGAGGCGTAGCCGTGTTAGAAGACCCACATAGCTCTGACATTGGAAGGGAGAGATTTAAGAAACCACAACAAAACGCTCGGCGAAAACCACCAAAACTATCAAAGAACGGTACCAATCCATGCAGGCACCTTTGCTTGTGGGTTTTGAGGGGCGTGCTCGCCTCTCTATAAATGTAAAAGGTGAAAATGCAAATTTGAATTGGAATTGTTAAGAAGCGTTCCTTCTGTATTACCGTTGTGTTGGCCCAATAAAAGCACTCAGAGAGAATATTCTATTCAATGGCAAACTAAATAGGAAAACTATGCAAATATCTCAAGTCATAAAATTTTAAATGAAAAACGGATGTGAAGCCAAGGAGGAAGTTAATTTTTGTTTTTAAATTGGGATTTGTTGGGACACAAATGTAATTCATCGCATTAAAAATGCTAGCAAACAAATTAAAAATTATCTGTTGGTTTTTACGAGAGAGTTACACCGTCAGCCAATTTTCGTTTTTTTAATATATTTGGCTTATTTTTTGATTATTTCAGCTTTTGACCTTTAATGTTGAAGGTACCAAAGGTGTGGGCTGTTAAATTCCATATTCACATAAGATCTCTGGTTGAGATAAATATGTGGATACACCATAGTTGAAAAGAATGGAAAAATGAAAATTATGACCCTTTGTGGGGAAGGTAGCAGAAGATATCTATCATTTCTACTCCAGAACTTGCTATAAGAAATTTGAGCTATATGAAATTTGAAGAAAATCGGATGCTTAGTTCGCTTTTTATGAGGAATATAATTGTTCAAAATTTTGACCCATTGGGGTAGGTGCCGGAAGGCGTGTCCCAATATCTATAATCTTCACACCAGATCGTATGCTAGTAAAAATATTTTAATTTGTGAAATTTTATGATTATCGGATACTTATTTCGCATTTTATGAGGGTGGGGGAGGCCCGATATATCCCATCTTTACATCTGATCTTGTGTTAGTTGAAATATTAAGATGTAGGCAATTTCAAGAGAATCGGATAATTATTTCACATTTTATTAAGGTTATAGTTATTCCAAATGAATGAAGAAGTGGTCCGATATATTCCACCCCACACCATATATTGTGTTGGTAGAATTATTAAGTTGTGCAAAATTTGAAGACAATCGAACTATATTTCACATTATATACGAGTTGTTACTATTCAGAAATTTGACCTATAGTAGAATTTTATGACAAAAAATGTTGTAGGATATTTTGACTTGTTACGATCCCGTTTAAAGTTTTTAACCATATTTACAAAAGTCCCAAAAAGACACCTTTTGAGGGTTAACGCATACCCTGTATTATTATCTGCAATTATGCGAAGGGGGAACTTGTCCCTTGAATTTTGTGGCACAGCGTAATGTTAAGATGAATCAAGTTTAAAAAAAATCAGCTACTCCCTTGGATAGTTATCGTGCGCACCAGACCGACAGATAGACGAACGCACAGCCCTAGATCGACTCCAAATGTCATGAAACGGATATTTTCCAAAAACACCTAGGGTATAAAACCATTATTTCGATGTGGCAAGTTTTGCGTATCAAATAATATATATATCCTCTGTAGCCATGTGGCTGAGGTACCATTATGTGAGGCCTATACGAAAACGTCGACCTGTACATACTATGTTTTGCCACCGGAGCTAGAACCCATTATAACCTATAAATTTAACAATTTGGAGACAAATTCGTGAAAAAATGTGACGAAAATCTTCAAAACACCAAACATCGGAAGGTATCGTTACATAGGGGCTATACCACAAGGTGGACCTATGTATACTATTTTTCGCCACCGGAGTTAGAACCCATTACGAACTACAAATACGAACTTTTACGAACGAATCCGTAGAATAAATGTGAAAAAAATCACCAAAATACTGAATATCCGGAGGTACCATTATGTGGGGGCTATACAAAAAACATGGACCTATACATAGAATGTTTCGCCTACGGAGCTAGAACCCATTTTGACCTACAAATACCAATTTTTAGACAAATCTGTAAAAAAATGTGACGAAACGAAACTTCAAAATAACGAATATCGGGAGGTATCGTTGCATAGGGGCTATACCAAGACGTGAACCTATGTATACTATGTTCCGCCATCCGAGTTAGAACCCATTGCGAACTACAAATACCAATTTTTAGACAAATCCGTCGAACAATGTGGCAAAAATCATCAAAATAACGATTATGGGGAGGTACCGATATATGGGGGCTATACAAAAACGTGGACCTATACATACAATGTTTCGCAACCGGAGCTAGAATCTATTATGACCTACAAATACCATTTTTTAGACAAATCCGTGAAAAAATATGGCGAAAATCATAAAAATACCGAATGTCGGGAGGTGCCGTTATATGGCGGCTATATCAAAACGTGAACCGATTTAACACCAAAACTGTTAGCCATGTAAAGATATCTCGTTAGCTTCATGTTCAGGATTTGAGAGTTAAAATTGGATCAAACCGCATGAAATTCACACACAAGACTTTTATGTTTTTATTCTGTTCCAGTTGTAATCAAAAAATCTCACACTTTATTTTTGAAATGTTTATAAATGAATTGTATTACTAATATTGCTTCTGTTCCGATAAACAAGCTAAAAATCAAGTTCTACACACATACATACGTACATATACAAATAAATAGACATCTCAATAAAATACATACCTGCCAATAGGACACTATTATTATTTTTATTGTCATGATCAACTGGAATGGACGAAACACGTTCGGCACGTAGGCAGGCCACTGTTGTGCCGGGACGACCATTTTTGCCGGAAGCTGTCAATTCCACAGTCATATCCATTGATTTCTGCAACACAGCATCCATGCGTATGAAGCCTTCGGCCAGTGTTTTATAGCCCAGAATGGTGCGTGATTTGTATTTTTTGCGTCGTTGTAGTAGTATGACCAGTCTGTGAGGATTGTCGCGTAGCGGTAAGAAGAAGAAGAAGGAAGGCAATTGATAACCATAACGTGTGCTAATATTATTGACAGGATATATATTGATTTTTTGTTTTTTTAGATTTTGATTTGGTTTTTGTTTTGTATTGCAACCCACACACACATAAGACGGTAGCGGGTGTTTTTTTTTGTGGTGGCAAACAAGCAACAATTACAACACAAGTTTACAGGAGCAGTCAACAACAACAGTTGGTTTTTTTTTTTGTTGCAGATTAACACAGAGGTGAAGATAGTTTTTGCAGAAGGAAAATAGAACAGAGAAGAATTAATAGATAATAAAAAGAGAAGAAGTAGAGCGCGAAGTACTAACTGGGATTTGATAACAGCTGTGGACTCAAGACACAATATGGATGCTTGGAATGTATTTACATACATTGACTGGATGAAATTGCAGGACAATTTTGACAAGGACTTTTAAATATAAGTGAAGTGGTTAAATGTGGGACTGGAATTCATTCGAAAGACAAACAGACTTTGATCATGCCAGTGGATGGAATTGGATAGACCTTTGGTTGATATTTTTTAAGAGTTTTCGGAATTGACAATCTTAGAAAAGCACATTTATTTACAAAAGAATACAGTAACTGAAGGGAAAGGAGTATGGTATGAGAAGTTTTTCCCGATCTCGAAAGGTCACACATATGAGAAAAACGTTTTATTAGTATATTAGGTAAAACGTTGTGATTTGTATCTCGTATATATAAATAATATCACGTACGGGGTGAGATGAAAAATATCAATCAATATCAGACTGCTCTTATTCCTAAGCCACTCGTGCGACAGCTGTTAAAAATATTCCAATGGCAGCTCATTATATTGTTTACAAGCGTATAGAATTATTTTGGAGAAAATTTTCCAGAAAAAAGGTTATTCGTCGTGGAATTCAAGCGTGATAGTGTGATTTCTTTATATTTGGCTGGAAAACCACAAGTGGCTATGGTTACAGCACTCCAGCATTTAAATGAGAATAAATCGTTTGTGTCTCTTACCATCGCTCGTAATCGAGTTACTAGTAGCGAAGCCCGACGTCAAGGAAGTGGATGGAAGAAAATAGGAACATCAGCAGAAATGGTTCGAAAAGTAAAGAAGCGATTTGATCGAAACCCACGTCGCAGTGGCCGAAAAATGGCTCGTGAGCTGAACATATGGCAATATTCCATTCGGCAAATATTGAAAAATTAGCTCGGGATAATGCCATTGAAATTCCAAAAAGTGCAAGAACTTACACCACAACAGAAAGAAAATATACTCAAAAGAGCTAAAGAGTTGTTTCGCTTGGCCGAAAGTGGTGAGCTGCCGAATTTGGTTTTCTCCGATGAGAAAACATTAGTTGTCCAGCAGTTTGTACAAAATAATCGTGTTTACTTGCCAAAGAGGTCAGCTGAAAATGTGCACCTTCGGTTGGCCACTAGAACTTAAGCGCCGGCCATGGTGATGGTGTGGGCCGCCATAACTGCCGATGGTTGCTCTCCAATCGTATTGATTGAGAATCAGAATAAATGCCGAATATTATCGCGAAAATATTATGGAGGGAGTATTAAAACCATGGGCACGCAAACATTTTTGCCGCAGACCTTGGACATTCCAACAGGACTCAGCACGTGCCACCCAAGAATGGTTACAAAATGAGGTTCCTCGCTTCATTTCCAGTGCATAATGGCCACCAAAATCTCCGGATACCAATCCGTTGGACTATTGTGTCTGGAGTATTTTGGAAAGCAATGTTGGCACTAAAAATACCAAAGTGCCGAACACCTCAAGCAAGCGCTTTGCCGGGAATTAGCCAAAATACCGTAGAGCAAAATTCGGGTATCGTGTGACGGTTTCATTGGCCATTTGAAGATCATAATTCGTGTCAAAGGTGACCAATTCAAACATAGCTAAACTTATTCTACTTCCGACATTTTTTGCTTTCATTCAATAAAATTTAAAAAAAAAAAATTAAATTATGGCGTTTGATTTTGTTGCAGTTTTTTTATCTCACCCTGCTTTTTCACCCATTTAAATTTTACACATATAAACAGTCGCCGAACTTGGTCATTCTGCAATACATGTTTAGAAAATACTCGTTATAATTTTCCAAGGCTCATACATTTAATCCAGCCTTTTATTGTGCACCAAACGTGTAATATCAGTAATAGCAAATTAGGCCTGAAAATAAGTGTGCCAAATTTGATCGAAATCGGTTCAGATATACCTATAGCTCCCATATATATTGTTCATCCGATTTGTTATTTTTGCCCTCTGCAGCCGTAACATGCACTCTGTAACAACTATATTTGGGGAAATATATCAAATACAGCTCAGAAATACTTTTGCTAAATTTCATCGAGATTGGTTCAGATTTGGATATAGCTCCCGTATATAACTTCGACCGATTTACCTTGGATTGTGCACCAAACGTCTAATATATATTCCAAATAGGTACACACGACCGAATTGAATCTAGAAGGTAGTACGCCAAATTTGGTAAAGATCGCTTCAGAAATAGCTATAGCTCCCATGTATATTGTTCATCCGATTTGTTGTATTTGTTACAGTAATATGCACTCCGTAACAACGATATTCAGGGAAATATATCAAATACAGCTTAGAAATATCTTTGCCAAATTTTATCGAGATCGGTTCAGATTTGGATATAGCTCCCATATATATCTTTATCTGATTTCAAATTAATTTTGCACCAAATGGGCAATACAAGTCCGAATTTAAAAGATACAAATGCTTCGGCATATTTGGTCCTTTGAACTTTAAATTATAATTATAATCATAGCGTGTATGATTAAATTCTCCCATAAAAACTTTTAATTGTTATGTGGAGCTCTACTAAATTAGCAAAGTGGTGTAGGGTATCATAAAGTCGGCCCCGCCCGACTTTAAGACTTCCTTTACTGGTTATAAGTACAGAAGCAATAAATAATTATTCTCGCCAACACCTAATACGTAGTATGTGAAATATTTAAAACCGTGTTTTGAAATTGTATTTTTGAATAAGTATCTGTTATTTCTGGCTTCATTTAATAAACCTTTCAACCACTGAGCTAAGTAAATTCGCTGAGTAAATTCGCATTTATCTAAATTGACTTTAGAAGCGTTTGATGTCTTCACTTCTTCAGCTTCAAAGAATCTCGTGGACAACAATTTTGGGTCTTCGTTCAAAACAAAGGTGTCATTAGTCACGAGAAGTCCTTGTCTTGTGGAACTTTGCTATTCTAAATGATCAACCTCGAATCCATAATATTTTCAAACCTCCTCTTACCAAGAAATAGTAGCAAATTAGCCATATGCTAAATTTCCCAGCATATTCCCAGTTTGTGATGATAAAATCGCAGTTAATGTTATACAATTTGCTACCATTAAACATTGTTGCCAACATTTACCCTGGCCAAAACAGAGGATAAAATGAGTTTTAATGTTTATCAATTACCAACTGGAACAATGTTTACTGCTGCTCGAAAGTTGTCGATGTAGTTGCTGCTGCTACTGCTACTGCCGCCGCCAGATGTTGTGAGTTTTAATCAAACTTTTCTTCCAACAAAAACCAAATGCAAACTACAAAACTACGTGAAGTTTAATGATGGATGGATAAATGGCTGGATGGATGTGGTTGAATGGACACTAACAGGAATAGCAGGATGTGTTGTGGTTGTAATGCTAATTAAATGTGATTATAAGCTTGGTTGAACGACGCCAACACTCGGACATTGGGGTAATGGTATCATTAGGGGAGTATGGGTTAAGGAACTAGTTTGGTGGAGGAAGGAGGGTCATCTAACTGACTCAGACTACTGAAGGATACTACTCACCTATTGCCATCACGCTTTATGAAATGAGGATATTGAAGACTAAAATTTAAATCCAGTTCAGTTTCAGACAATGGCACACTGCCACTCATTAATAGGCCGGCCGTGGGATTACCGGTTGTACCGATGCCAACATTGCCAATATTTCCGGGTGTACCAATCATGTGCGAATTACCACCGCTACCAACACCCGCTCCGCCACTGCCCATATTGGATTGGGCTGAATTAAGCATTGCCGTGGTCATCGACGCATTGCCTTGTTGCATTATCGACAGATTACCCACACCAGCTCCTCCTCCAATGCCGCCGGCATTATTGCTTGTGGTATTGGAGACACCACTAGCGCCGCCAGTATTGCTGCCACTGCCTGGGCCTCCACCACCTCCACTACCTCCAATAGCACCACTGCCACTTCCCGTTGCCGATGTATTGGTGCCAGAGGCAATTTGCATAAAACTAGCTCCACTTATTGGTATTTCATGAGAGCGCAGTGTACGCTTGGAACTTTGCATTTTCACCGCCAACGACAGCGATGTCATATCGCCCGGTAGGGGTGTTAATATTGTTAAACGGGTTATTGTCAGCGAGCATAATCTGCAAAAAGAGGAAAGTAAATATATGGCTTGAAATTAATTATGAAATTTAATTATGGATTTATTACAAATTGCAATTAAAGAAGGCTGAGAGGTGATGTATGCTTGCTAGGGGAGAGAAGGCAGTAAGAGGAAGTCAATATTAACTTGGACCTCAGGCAATCATTTGTCATGCCCATGTCGGGCATTTATGCAAATTAAATTGCATGCGATGTAATTTATACTGAAATATTTATTAGACTCAAGGAAAAACGAAAATATACTGAGAAAAATTAGACATGGTGTGTTGAGAGATTTAGGAAAACGACCTGGTGTTGGTCTATGGACGATGGAAGACATCCAAGTCTTCTATAGACAATAGAAGACCTCCAAGTCTTCCATGGACGATAGAAGACCTTCAAGTCTTCCATGGACGATAGAAGACTTCCAAGTTTTCTATGGACGAGAGAAGACCTTCAAATCTTCCAATGACGATAGAAGACCTTCAAGTCTTCCAATAGATAGAAGACCTCCAAGTCTTCTACGGACGATAGAAGACCTACAAGTCTATCCTGGATCAAGTTTCCAAGTCTTCTATGGACGATGGAAGACCTTCAGGTCTTCTATGGACAAAGTTTCCAAGTCTTCTATGGACAATTGAAGACCTTCAAGTCTTTTATGGACAATAGAAGACCTTCAAGTCTTCTATGGACGAGAGAAGACCTGCAAGTCTTCCATGAACGATAGAAGACCTGCAAGTCTTTTCTGGACCAAGTCTCCAAGTCTTCTATAGACGAGGGAAGACCTTAAAGTCTTCTATGGACCAAGTATACAAGTCTTCTATGGACACTGGAAGCCCTCCAACTCTTTTATGGACAATAGAACCCCTACAAGTCTTTTATGGACGATAGAAAACCTCCAAGTCTTCTATGGACGATATAACCCCTTCAAGTTTTCTATGGACGACTTCCACATCGAAGTTTTCTGTAGACTATAGAATACCTCCAAGTCTTCTATGGACAATAGAAGGCCTCCAAGTCCTCTATAGACTATAGGAGACCTCCAAGTCTTCTACGGATGATAGCAGACTTACGGGTCTTCCATGACAATAGAAGATTTCCAGGTCTTCTATGGCAAGTAGATTCCATCCAGGTCTTCTTCCAGTTCATTTCAGCTCTTATGCTTCATGATTTTTTCAAGTGTCTTTTTTCATTACATACAACATTTATTCGAACGACAATCCCGGGTGTGTCATCCGGTGGTGCATTTCTGTCGACTCTACGCTGGCTTTCCGTAGCCCACACATTGCCAGCAAAAGAGCTAGTAGGGGTCATAAATTAAATTAAACACTTTATTTGAATAGTTTCTCTTGCACTTGGACACAGATTGTTTGGACGGCCGGTCATGGCTGTCTCTGTGTGTGCGTAACATATTCATTCACCCATTGGTCTGGTATGTGCAGCAGGAAATTTTAATTCCCTAGTTTAGATAGAAGTTTTTGTTGTCGTTTTTGTGTTGTTCAATGATATCCCATAGAGTAGTGAGTGAATGTCCAATTACGTTGAGTGTTATGATGAAATAGAAGTGGACGTTCGTTTCATTTTTCTTGGCAATCTGTGTTGGGGAGTGTTTTGAAGTATTTTTTTAACCAGGGTAGAGGGGAAAATTTGTTGAAAGGGTGAAGTAGTTGGGAAATTTGTTTTAGAAACAAATTTGAAAAGAAGTAACAACGTGAAGAACATTTTGAACATTGTTAGGGTTATTCTGTTCATTTCCCATTTTATATGTGAGCACCTGACCCTAAGAACCCAAAATACCAAATTAAAGCTAGGATGTAAACTTTTAGGAAAATATGTTAAGTTCATAAATATGACCTAGTTATAATTACAAGTGATACCAAATTTTAATTCCTGCAAAATATGAGGCAAATTAATTGAAAATTATAGGCTGAAAGATGGCCACAAGGGGTCCTCTGATTGTACATGAGAACATGGAAGAGCTATTCCTTTAAGAATTACTGGAGGAGCTATGCCATGAGGGAGTCCTTGTCATTTCCAAGCAGAAGCCCTAGATTTGTTTTTCTGTCAGAATGTCTAGAGAAGCTCCTCTATGCGAAGACTTTGAGAGTTCTTCTATGAGAAAACCTTAAGCTCTTTGAAAAAACCTCAGAATCTTCTATAAAAAAATCAATCAAACTTCTTTATATTTGGCTGGAGAACCACAAGTGGCTATCGTTAGAGCACTCCAGCATTTAAAGGTGAATAAATCTTTTGTATCTCCTACCATAGCTCGTTACCGTGATACTCGTAGCGTAGCCCGACGTCAAGGAAGTGGACGGAAGAAAGCAGTAAGATGAGCAGAAATGGTTCGAAAAGTAAGGAAGCGACGAGATCGAAACCCACATCGCAGTGGCCGAAAAATGGCTCGTGAGCTGAACATATCGCAACATTCCATTCGGCAAATGTTGAAAAATGAGCTTACCCCGAGACATTGAAATTCCAACAATTGCAACAACTTATCCCACAACAGAAAGAAAATAGACTCAAAAGAGCTAAGGAGTTGCTAAGCTTGGCCGAAAGTGGTGAACTGCCGAATTTGATTTTCTCCGATGAGAAAACATTCGTAATCCAGCAGTTTGTAAACAAACAAAATGATCGTGTTTACTTGCCAAAGAGGTCAGCTGAAAATATGCACCTTCGGTTACCCACCAGAACTCAAGCTCTGGCCATGGTGATGGTGTGTACCGCCATAACAGCCGATAGTCGCTCTCCGCTCGTATTAATCGACCGTCACATCAGAATAAATGCCGAATATTATTGCGAAAATATTCTGGAGGGTTTATTAAAGCCTTGGTCACGCAAACATTTTGGCCGCAGACCTTAGACATTCCAACAGGACTCAGCATCATCGCACTCAGCACGCGTCACCCAAGAATGATTACAAAATGAGGTTCCTCCAGCGCACAAAGGCCGCGTAGCCACATTCGGGCAACGTGTGACAGTTTTATGGCCATAATTCATGCCGAAGGTGACCAATTCGCAAAAATCTAAACTTATTCGAAAATGTTATGCTATGTCCAACATTTTTTGCTTTCATTCAATAAAATTAAAAAAAAAATAAAATAAAAATTATGGCGTTAGACTTTGTTGCATTTTTTTCTTTTTATCTCACCCTGTATAAGAAGACCATGGGTCTTCGTATGAAAGACCACTTCAATAAGAAACCATAAGGTCTTCTATAAAAGATAATAAGGGCTTCTTATGGAAGACCAGAAGGTATTTTTATAGAAGACCATGAAGTCTTCTTATGGAAAATAATGAGGGTATCCTATAGAAGACCATGAGGAGTTCTTATAGAAGATAATGAGAGAGTCTTATAAAACACCATGAGGTTTTCCTATAGAAGGCCATAAGTTGTTCCTATATAAGTCCATGAGGTCTTCTTATAGAAGACGATCAGATTTTCTTACCTTCTTTTAGAAGAGCCAAAGGTTTCTTTATATTTATGTTCCTAATATCTATATTCAAAACCAGTTAAGAAAGTCTCAAAGTCGGTCGGGGCCGACTTTATGATACCCTACACCACTTTGCTAATTTAGTAGAGCTGCGCATAACAATTAAAAGTTTTTATGGGAGAATTCAATCATACACGCTATGATTATAATTATAATTTAAAGTTCAAAGGGCTAAACATGCCGAAGCATTTGTATCTTTTAAATTCGGACTTGTATTGACCATTTGGTGCACAATTAATTTGAAATCGGATAAATATATCTATTTGGGAACTATATCCAAATCGGAACCGATATCGATAAAATTTGGCAAAGATATTTCTGAGCTGTATTTGATATATTTCCCTGAATATCGTTGTTACGGAGTGCATATTACGGCTGTGGGTAACAAATATAACAAATCGGATGAACAGTATATATGGGAGCTATAACTATATCTGAACCGATCTTCACCAAATTTGACATACTAGCTTCTAGACTCAAATATATCATCAAATTTGGGCAAATATTAGAAGTTTGGTGTACAATAAAAGGTAAATCGGACGAAGTTATATATGGGAGCTATATCCAAATCTCGGTTAAGATAAAATCTCTCGATAAAATTTAGCAAATGTATTTCTGAGATGTATTATTTCCCCAAATATTGTTGTTACAGAGTGCATATTACGGCTGCGGAGGACAAAAATAACAAATCGGATGAACAATATATATGGGAGCTATAGCTATATCTGAACCGATTTCGATCAAATTTGGCATACTTATTTTCAGGTCCAATCTAATCGTACGTGCAAAATTACATACTATTCGGACTGATATTACACGTTTGGTGCACAATAAAAGGCAAATCGGACGAAGATATATATGGGAGCTATATCTAAATTTTGACCGATTATCTCCAATTTCAATAGGGTTCGTCCTTGGGCCAAACAAATGATTTGTGCAAAATTTCATCTGGATAGGGCAATAAATGCGAACTGTACTTTGTTTACAAAAATACATGGACAGACGGACAGACGGACGGACGGACCGTAGCTCCCATATATATCTTCGTCCGATTTGCCTTTTATTGTGCACCAAACGTGTAATATCAGTCCGAATAAATTGACTCAGAATGTGATTCTATACAGATCATCAAAAGGAACTCAGGGTCTATCTCGTTTCCTTTTGCCTGTTACAAACAAATGCACAAAGACATAATACCCTGACCACCTTGTGGTGTAGGGTATAATGAAGATTTCGTGGATCTTTAATAATATCTTCTGGTTTTTTGTGGATTTGGTTTTTTTAATGTCTATTTTCCATATATATATATTTTTGATGTTGTTGATTTATTATACACCCCGCCTCCTCCTCATTTCGCACTGCAAGTGGGTGACAATAGGCTTGACAACAATTAATGTAAACTCAACTGGAATTGGAATATTGTATTGAAACCATATGATAGATAAAATCGTCAAGTGTGTTGAGAATTGAAAAAAGACAATAATTCATGACATCATTCAATTCTGTTT